AGTCTCTCTCGTGCCTAAGCACGGCCCTGTGATTAAGCCCTAGTCAATGAGACGCAAGCCAAGGTTGTTGGGACCTCCAGGAAAACGTCTTTAAAGGAGGCACTGTCAACAGGGGTGCACCCTTTTTATCCTGGTGCTTCATTCTTACTACTACTGCCTGGAACACAGAGATGAGGGCTGGAGCTCTGGCTGCCATTTTGGACCATGAAGCTCCCTGGAGAGCAGAAGCCACCACTAAGGGTGGGAGGGCAGGTTGGCTAAACATTAAAGCCTTTGGGGCTCCTCCTCTGGACCAGAATGGGTATCTGGCCCAGGCTTCCAGGAGCTCCTGGAAGGCTGAGGGGTCAGGGTGACCTGATTTAGGAGGGCTGTCCTAACTCCACAGGAGAGAGTCAGGCATGGCTTCCCACGGGAGCTGGGCCTGGAACACACAGCGGTCACTTCACGTAGGCTGGCAGGATGGAACCCAAGTGAAGTGGGTTCTCCTCCTGTCCAGGCCCAGTTTCCACTTCCCACCATGACAAAGTTTCACTTCTGGCTCTAGCTCAGTCAGGGGCCCCGAGTGGGCAGGCACTGAGAGAGGGAGACAGGCGATACGGAGGAGGCCTGCCTTGGGGCAGGGGTGTGGGAGGCACCAGCGGGGCCCAGGTCCCCCACCCCACCCTCACCCCCTGTGGAGCCTGTGGGCTGGAGATGCAGGGGAACAAGTGGTCAACAAAGCCGGGAAAAGTCTAGTCCTGGGCCCAGGGCTGGGTGTGGATGGGGACACTCTATTTTCAAACTTCATTGTGGTTTTTCAGTTGCAAAAGGAAATGAGAAAGCGTGTGTGCGCAGTCGTAGGTAAGTTCCTTCCCTGGGCGGGCACACGGTGCCGCATGTGTGAGAAACACACGCATGAGCAAGAATGCGGGGGGCGTGTGGGTGTGAGTGGGCACGCCGGCCCGTGCACACGTGTGCACGCGGGTCTCAGCGCAGGGGGTCTCTCCCGGGTCTCAGCCCAGGCCCGCCGTCTGTCACTTTCCTGCTCAGTGTAAGGACACCAGTGGCCCCTGCCCTCCTGAC